TATATATATATATATATATCTGTAAGGCTCTTCGTCGTCGTCGTCGTCGTCGATCGATCGACTGCTCCTTTTCGAGAGGAGTCTGACAGCCGTGCGCGTTGTACTCTCACGTACTTACTCGGTACGTTAATAATGACGTGCACGCGTGGAATTCGATAGATTGCGAGCGATCCGCCACTGAAATTCGACATACAATCGGTAGTCGGCTCGCGAGTGGATTAGGGGGCTTGGATAAATTTTCAATTGAATCGCTAAGCTCTCTCGAAGCTTAACTGACGTTGTACGTTACGCTGGCATATTTCATAACAATTAGATATCTAATATTTCAGGAATGGAGAACACACACTGCGTCAATCCTATGTGTAAAAAAATAACAAGAGAGAAAGAAAGAAAAAGAAAGAGAAAGGAGAGAATTTCGGTGATTTGAAAATCTCGATTAAAATTGCATCTTAAAAATAATAAATATTTGTAGAAAAATAATTATTATAACACGGTAAGAATTATTTTGCTGAAGTATATCTAAAAATTTAGGTAAATACAGATTCGAAAATGCTTTTGTTACATCTTCAAAATAATTATATACTCTCTGTCTAATAAATCATTATTTCTATTACAAGTAAACAAACATAATAGGATAAAAGGAAACCTAGTGACAAAGACTGTTAATTTTTATAACAGAGTTATAACAATTCTTCTATGTTCATTAAGTTTTCTTTTATTCTCATGAAATAAAATTTTAGGAATTGCGTTTAATTCAAAGTTAATGTCGCGCATGCAAGTTGGATGTACGCAAACAATATTCTATAGAAATTTTGCAGAGTCGAATCTTTTAACGACTATGCGTGCATTTTTTCATTTTGCCCGAATTCGATGGGAAATTTTAGCTCGCCTTCGTTGCTCGTTAATGAAAATCAATGCTTGGACTCGTTAAATACTCGCGATCCGCGTCAGGCAGCCCAAATAGTGAACACGTCGCATCTGATTCGACGAAAATGCGAATTCTCTATTTCAGTTAAATTTACGAGCATGCTGGTTTTAATTTATGCTGTATCCTGTTTGCTGCTGACTGATTTGTGATCTTGGCGAACAAGTTTTACGTCCGCACACTCGCGTGACATTTGATGTGAAAATATACCTCCCATTCGTCTTGTGCAACATTTTAAATCGATCAGATTTCGTTATTGTTTGAAAGTGTTATTAAAAATAAAAAAACATGTGCGCTTCGTTTTTGTAAATCTCACGTATGTATCTCCAATATTCCGTATATATTTAAAATTTTTGTAATACAATATCTTCCCATTCTTTATCTCATCCAGCAAAAACTCTCTCTTAGTTTAATATAAATTAAAGTAAAAAATATTATATTATACATATATCAAGAGAAAAAGAATTTTCATTGTATTTTAAAAGAAAATACACAATCACTTACAGCAGTATATTTTAATAACTATTATAAATAAATAAATTAATATATTATCATGTATTTCATTTGTACAATTTTATATTGCATCTTACAATATCATAAAGATTACAACTAAAGAACGTACTTGTCAAACTTAAATATAATTGTATAAAGATTGTGAGAAAGGGTATAATCGTTGGATTAATGTATATTTCAAAATCAATTTGCTGTGTATACAACATGCAAATGTGTTAATATAGAAGGAATATGTTGAGTCAGTTAAAATAATAATACATTGCATATGCCACATTTCCACAAGAATGCGCATAGTCATTGCACGATAATTATAATTGAATACGATTTGAAATTAATGATTACTAGCACCGAGCTATTAGCGCAAATTTTATCTCTGTTCTCGCCTATTTAATGCAGCGATGTGATGCCATAATAACGCATCGATTTACGGATTTGCAGTAAAAGCATATATGCCCGCATCTATTAACATTTTCAGAATGCTCAACGAGATAGCGTGCTGATAGGAAATTCTATATCGAATTCCTTTATTCATTGTCGGCGACACCCTGTGCGTGTGTGCGTGTGTGCGCGCGCGCGTGTGTGTGTGTACATATGTATGTGTGTGTACGTATTGCGTGAAATGACGTTTAAAATAACAAAATGATGTGTATCATTCTAAATTTTTTGTAGTAAAATCTCATTCCAAGAAAGTGAAAATACAATCCTTGAAAAAAGTGAAAAATGTGTGTGTTTGTATTTTTACTCTCTTAGAGAGTGAGATTTCATTGCAAGATTTAGAGTGAAATATGTACATATACTCGTATGTTGCTATTTTAAGCGCCATTTCACGCAATGTCTTGGAGTTAAACTTGTTAATAAAATGTTCTTCCACAATCGAAAAAAACTGATGTATTTTTACTCGAGCGCGGTGTTCTTTAATTAATTAGAAATTAGAGGAAAGTTGCCGATACTGACATAGGTCTCCTAAAGTGACACCCACTTATTTCTTAGAAACTAACTATTGCACTTTATTAATACTAATAAAATCATGATCTGTTTAGCTAATTAAAGAAGTACAACCTCATAATTCATATATTTGTGGCTTATTTCTATACCAAATTAGCTAAAAACCAATTCTATGAATCCGAGAAGAAAATTCTTACGGTGTTTTTTTGCAAATGGCGTAATTAAAATAATAGTGACTGTATTATTAATAATATGATATCATTTTAAATGTTTATAGTTTCATAAATTAGTTTTCTTTACAGAATAGGATATATCTTTATTTATAGAATAGGAATGTTGGTATTATTGCCTACTATGTCAGTTTTGGAGCTCATTTTGTCAGACGCTCATTTTTGCATAACTTACGAAAAACTTAATTATTGCAAAATTGCAAACAGTATTATAAAAATTGCTTATACTATCTGATAGAAGACACTTTTTATTTTGTATTTATGTTTTTGAAGTTGTATTTTTACCTTTTGTTTAAGAAATATTGTCTAAGAACAAAGTGGTATGTCGGTATCGGTGACCTTCCTCTATTTCACGAACAGGTCAATAAGGGATAAAGATTGAATCTCCGAAGTATGGAGTCGCGAGCTATAGTCAGACTATCAACAAAATGTGATAACGCGATTGTGCTACTCGGATTCATCAGCAGTTTCGATTTTCTCCATTAAATAAGTAAGGAGTTTCATTTTTCTCGTTGAATTCTTGCGTTTCTCTTATGACCCACTGTCAGAAACTGAAACGTGAGTTCTT